CTATTATTCTCTTAAGGGATTTTCTGTTAATGCCTGCCATATTTTTCAAATAAAATATTAAGGAAAAGCAAGTTTATTTATTAACAAGGGTGCACATGACATTTTTAGTCTTTTTCTCAGGGGAGAACATAGGATTGTTACTTAGTCCTCACATTTTTAAATACATTTTTTTCCTTAACCCACTTCACTATAGGAATGAAATAGAGGGATGCATGGATAATGTAACATGGAATTTAATTTGATCTGAAAATGAAGAGGAGCACAGAAAATGTCTGATCTTTTTTGCCTTATAACTTTCTTATAACATGGCTGTATTTCAAGCTCTTCAAACTGTTATCCTACAGAATGTTGTCATCATTCTTAGTGTCTTCCTTCATTTCCCAAACAGCAAAGGATGTTGATCCACCAGAACTGCTCTTTTCCCTCTGCTTTAGCAGCCATTAGCTGTTTGCATCCACAAGTTTACAGCTGGATTTGTGTCAAAGCTCTCCGTGGTGAACTTGGACTAAAGGATGTGCATCAGAGATGAGATTCATATAGGCAGGATCTGGACTTGTTTTTTTATGATATTCAAACATGGAAATCCTCTTTCTTAGGCAGCACTACCCAAGGGCAGAGAAAGGGACAAGATCAGGACCTTTGAATGTTGGAGTAACTGTCTGGATTGCTTGTCTTCACTACATTCAACAGTTCATGCACAGAGGAGACCGCCAAACGTTTTCCAGCTTGGTTTAAACACATCCACTCTGCTAAAGTGGATTATCAACAAACATGTTGGCCTCATATTTCTCTAGGATGTTACTGAGAGTTTTGTTGCTAAAACTGTTGAGATCTTTCATTTCAAGAGGCCAAGTTTTGTGATCAAAAATCAAAAACTGATCACATGATTTAAGGTATTAAAGGTATTTAAACTCATGAATTAGCGCTCTCTGTACATTAGTTTTGTCCTTGCTGCCATCAGCATGTGACCTAGTCTCTTTCCTGTACTTGCCCTCACTCTCCATCAGTAGAGTCAGCTGTCCAACAGCAACCACCAGCTCATCTTTTCATTCACCAGCAGTTATGTTCTCTTGCTGAAACCTGAGGGAGGTTAGCTGTAAAATGGTTCCTATATCCAGATTTATGGCTCGGAAACAATGAAAACGCTCTGAGTAAATGAGTTTCAGGCTCGGCTCATCACTTGTTGCTGCTTGAATCTGGATGGCGGGAAACATTCTCACTATTTTAATAGATTCTCCTGTCTCCATGCACACCATCTGATATGATGAAATGTTCCTAATTTAACAAAGAATGCATTTCTCATCAGACAACATCTTTAGTTGTGTTATACATTTTGCGCCCCCTTTAAGTAAAATCCTAGCGAGCTTATAGTGGATTGATTAAATGACTCACAGTATGGGACTGTGCAATCAGCTAACTTGGCTCAGTTCCTGAGAGTGGGGGTGGGGCACAGAAAATGCACAAAGGAAATCTTGATGTCCTCCATCTGAGACGGAAAGAAGAGTTTATGTTTTGGAAAAATTAAGTGATTTATTGTTTGGTATCAGTCTTTATTTCTGATTTACAATTAGATTAATGATTAAAGATAAAACAGATTAATTGAACAGGCGGCCATAAATAATTACTAGGATTTATTACTGGTATTAAAGCATGTTTGAGTTATTCAGTGTTTGGTGGAAATTTCCTCACTTATATGTCAGGTTAATATGTCCTGAAAGTATTGCTGAGATAAAATAAGTTGTAATTTATACTTCTTTAATTTTCCAAACAATGTGATATTTTCCGTGTATTTTTAGCAACAGGAAAAAATTATTACTTCTAGTTGAGTTACCAGGGAAATTTTATGTTGTTTAATAATTAGGTTCATTGTTTTTAACCATCATTTCATTTTTACAATTAACTGTTGACCAGTCTTACATTATGATTTCAGAATAATAAAACCCTAAACAAATAATAATCATCATATATCAGGGTTTCTTTGCTTCAGTGTAGATAGAGAGCCACATCAGTGAGTCGTTATCCAATCTGTTCCACTTGTTCATATAAAGTAGGCTGGCATCTCTTTAGGATTTAATAATGGATCAATAAATACAATTTACAATTCCTCTTTAATAATTCAATTTAAGATGTGCAATTAGAAAATGCTTTTTAAAAAGGATTTCTAATTGTGTGATTTAAATATTTGATTTCAAATAGCAGTTTCTCTTTTTCACTAAAACACGTTTATTATATCCGTGTTCTTTTATATAAAAATATTTCAGAGGACCTCAGTATATTTTAAAGTCTGGTTCCGGTCCTGTGGATGATGATAATAATATACTAATAT